TGCCAGCACCAACAGTTGCTCTGATGATAATCCCAGCAGGCCAAGGAGTCCATACTCACAGTTATATCAGCGAGGCAATTACACTGGGCTAGGCCTGCTTACATATGACAAAGAGTCACACACAAATGAGCGCACACACATCCACATTCACAGATTTGCAGAAATACAGGCACACACATGAGCGCTGCACAACGAGATAAAAAGCAAACCAAAGAGGGATAAGATGGACTAACGTACATCGAAAAGCCAGAACGGGAGGAAACTGAGGAAATTTATACTGAGGAACAAAGGAGACAAAAGAGCAGCGAAGATATGAGGAAGAAATAAACGGTACAACAATTTTAAAGAGCGATGCCAGTTTAAAGGGAACGATTTTAGGAAATGTAAAAATAGAAATATACAGTTAGAAAAGATAGAGGGGAGGAAAATTACATGGTAATCTATGTTTTAATCTTTCGTACAGCTCCTTTAAATGCTTGCTGGCAGTGCGCTGATAAGTGGCTTTGTGGAGCAGAGTGCCGTTATCATCAAATTGTTCTAATAGTGGCTGCCTGCTCTTGAAATGTGTGAATATCTGGGTGGAGAGATTTAGGTTATTTTTTAAGTGTAAAGTGATGCATTCCTGAAGTGGGTTAACAGCATTTTCTTACCCACTACGAAAGCTTCTCTGCCAATATCAGAGTTAACTTCATTCAGCGTATTATATTTAAATATGCTGAAGTTTGTGCCTATATTGTAAAGTACCTAGCACCGAGCAGCCAAGTGTGATTATCTATATTTGCTCTCTTTGCTTCTATAAACCACAGCAACAAAATAAGTGGTCTGTCAAACACTCAAGCGTGCACGTTATTCATGCAACACAATCATTGAAAAATGAGGTTAAAGCGTCAGGACAGCAGGCTGATTATGAAGGACTATGTTATGTTTAGATAAGCACAGTGCAGCACAACTGTACGTGTGCAGTATGTGTGCTAATATGTCAGCTAATGTTAGTCAGGTTACCATGGCGGGGTCAGAGGGGCAGGAGGGGAGGCTTTCTCTGGCATCCTCTGCAATAACATCCTGACGTAGGCACAGAATGGAGACATAAGGACTAATGAAGGTTGAGTTCATGACTGCTCAATGTACGGTTTAACCTTTGACATCTTTACTCTGGGTTTGGGATCACTAGCTGAGATATAGCCCCACCAGCCTCAGGAGCTGGACAGTGTGTGGTATATGGAGCAGTGAAGAGATTAATACCATAAGGAGCTAATGGAAAATGTAACTGAAGAGTGGGGAACAGAAGGATGGAGAGAGAGAGGAAGATGAAAGATGAGGTGTTGAAAAAGGTAAAGGAGGTATATTATTAAACAGTGAGTGATACAATAGTACTATGAGGGTGTTTTTTTAAATCATATTTAAGAAAGTATTAATGCAAACAGAATAACGTCTCCCCTTACTGGTACTGCTGGGATACTGCTCAAACTTTCAATCAGTCCAATCACACAGAAACTATCGTTGCATAATGTAACTGCAACAACAACTATCGTGCTTCTTTACTTACAAGTCCATTGGTGTCCTTAGGATGGCCATGTAGTTTAATGGAGGGATGCGAAGATGAGGGAACGTGGTGGGAGTAATGCCGTGGCAGGTGATACACATGATGTGGGAAATAAGGCTATGAGGGAGGAAGGAAATAATATAGGGGAGAGGAGAGGAGGTAAAAACAAAATGAAAATCATAAAATCATACCAGGGAACTCAGATCCAATGCTGATTCAAAAACCATGATCACATGGTACAAACAAAGATGTTTACTGCACAATTCATTCAGTGTTAAATACCAATGGGCCATTGCAATGCTACACTATGATAACAGATGAATGGAGGAAGTAAACTCAGAAAGATGTGTGGTTGCTTGTGGTTGTGGGGATCAGTGTGTGTCACACAGGTGACAGACCCTGTTTCTACTTTCGCTGTTAGAAAGTGACAAGTTATTCCAGGTTCATTTTATGACACTGACCAACAGTTATTTTATTTTTGGACTACCAAGAAGATGGCACTGGACGGACTTTAAATAGAAGGTAGAAGACTGGTCATCTTCTTGTGAGTCCCTGTTCTGTCTCACCCGGTTGTAGAATGGGTGCTGTGGTCCGGTCATCCCGCTGAAGTAGGCACTGTGGGGCTGAGGAGGCAGGGATCCAGTGAAGGAGCCTGCCGGCGAGCAGGCGGTGGGGGGATGGCCATAACCTGACTGGGGCCGGGGCACTGCCTCTTGCAGTGGCAGCGTGGGATAGGTCACTCCTCCCATGTGTATCTGCTCCCTGGCCGCACGCACATCTAAGAGATGACAGAGCGGGGGGGACAGAACAAGAACGGAGGGGAGAGAAGGAAGCATTTATCCGCGATGCTGATCATCATGTCTTGGCATTGACTATAAAGACCCTTCAGATCCACCCACGCATCAATAATTTAGCTTTATTTCATCATCTCCAGAGAGTCGAGGCAGTCGTGAATCCACAGAGAAAAATACATATCAAACAATTGACGTGCACAAGAGCAAAACTGCTTGATTCTCGACGCACTGGGGAATACAACAAGAACGTTGTTGCTGAACATGTTCTACTTACCAAAAATACAAGACAATCCAACAGCTGAACGTTTGAGAGAAAACAAGCGCAGATGTTACAATTACAACAACCTTTAGCCGAGAATTACATTCTCATTTTGATTTCTATTACTATGTTTGCTCGCAAACCAGCAGGCTTGCTGATATTCTGTGTTTTCCAAATTAGATACCAGCCATGTGACGACTCTGGCACACCGAGCCCAATGCGGTCCCCGACAAATAAAAAGACCCATGTAAACAAACAAAACAGACCATGTGAACTCATAGACACTGTCTCATAAGCACTTTGCTGCAATTGTCTTCACATAAATCAATTTGACTTTGAGCCGAAGTAGGAGCTGAGTGGGAGCTTTGGTAAAATCTCCCAAATTAGAGTCAAATAAGCCCAGAGGCAGAACAGAGTGGCTCTGTGTGGCTGGCAAAGAAAGTACGAACCAGAAACAGAAGCAGGCACCAGAATGTCTCCTGGTTATACAAGTGGCTGCTGAATGACACACTGAGTGAGACCCAATCCAGCCTGTGAACACAATGGGGGCCTTATGATGTGAGTCAGCCTCATGGGCGGGTATCACTGACAGCACTGCCCACTGGCTGGCCACAGGACACCGGGCACCAAGTACCGACTCGGCCACAGTGGGAGGGGAGGGAGCGGGATGACTGGTTAAGAGCGTTGGTCACCTTCTGCTCCCGGAGGAGACGTGTGGAGGTTAAAATACCTGCATCCACACAAATAAATACATTTGGCGGATATGTGCGGTGTATACACACCTACAAAATGTTAGGTGTGGAGTGCTGTACTTTCAGACTGGACGTCTGGTTGTGGAGCTTGGTCAGCTGCGCCCTCCGTGACTCAACCTTGGCTTAATGGAACAGACTTTGTGTGTGTGTGTGTGT